TGATCTCCCACTGCAGCCAAGCCTTCCCGCTGTTTCTGGCAGACTGTGAACTCCCACGTAGTATTTATTTATTTTGACTCGTGTTAGATGGCTTCTGCTGCTGAGAAAAAACTACTTCACCTCCCGTTTGAAGATACACTTTATGGCTGTGGAACGTGGAACAGGGCTGTAACTGGCCCTCGTGAGCACAGGGACCAAGAATTCCAGCTTTTAACTGGCACACAAGGTTTATTTAGTTGTTACACCAGTGAATGCCAAGCAAACAGTACTATGACTCCAATTTCAAAACTTCATGTCAAGAATGATCACCTGGGAACAGGTATTTTATTATCCATCCGTGGCTCTCCTTTGGAAGCCACTCATGGATTTTCATTTTTAATTTGAAGCTGTTAGATTTCCACTGTCCAAAGGAGGTAATAAAACAGCATTCACCCCCATTTTTGGAAGATTAAACGATGTAGCCTTAACAGATGAGTGTTGTCCTGCATACTGTGTATTTTCCAAACAAGCATTAGTGCCTAAAATGTTTATTCCAGCTATTGTGATACTCAGGGCCTTGCTTACTGTATGTAAACACACATAAACAGAGTTTCTGTGGCATTGGTGCACTGTGCTGTTTGACACTGTCCTTCATCCCCACTGACATGTCCTGTTTACTGGTCCTGTCTGTCAGCATTAAAGATCCTGATTTCCTTGTGCAGAGCAGCCCTGGCTCTCCCTCCTGGAGCAGGGTGGGAGCAGCAGGAGGCACAAGCTGCTGGGCTGATTTTACCAAAGCCACCTCAGCCCCAGACTGGAAATGGTCACTATGAGAAACTGAGCAACAGGAACCACTTCCCAAAGTGCTGAGGCCTCCAAGGCTAAGGCTTGGCTTGCCCAGACAACACAAACCATCCTTTCACACCCTCTGCCTTGGTACAAATTGTATTTTCTAAGAAAATCAGGAGCAATTCAAATGCAAGTACCAGATCAAAGCAAGGAAACAGTAACCACTGAAGCCACAGTGCCAACTCAGGCAAAGTTTGTGCAGCCAAACAAATCTCAAGTGAAGCACCTCAAAATAAATCCCTGCACTCACCAGAGCACTCAGAGGCACCTGCAGTGATGCAAAACTACCTTTCAAGTTTCTTTTTAAAGCTTATGAGTGGACCTTCCTCATTTAAATAGCTCTCAGGTCACTGGTTTGAAAACAGCTGATGCACTCACAAGTTTGCCTTCCAGTGGTCTCCACATAACTACACCAAGACCATTAAAGTTTAAGCAAAATCATACTCTGAGGCCAACAGTCTGATACTAAATCAATCCCAGGGTTTTTTATGCCTCTTACCGAACACAGAGCACACATTTTGAACTTTTCAAAGCTGTATCTTAGGTAATACCATTTGCCTGAAAATCTCTTCCATATTTGAACATTACAGACTAGTAAAAAAAAGAGAAGGGAAAAAAAAGAAAAAGGAAACAGCTCTCAGAATAAGAAAAGAAAATCAACCAACCAAAAAAAAAACAAAACAAAACAAAAACCCCCAAACAAACAAACAAACAAAAGATAAAAAATAATCAAGGGAACTAATTACACTTACAGATGACTTAAAGCCCTAAAGAATATTCTCTAACACAGAAAATGCTTCAGAAAATCCACATACAGACTTCATAAGGCATTCCCAACATCTGAATACTTTAATCCTACTAAATTCAGCCAAATGCAGGAACCCTCAGTTTAAGTCTGGTGCCAATTCTGCAAAGACTCCTGAAAAAGGATGAGGAAAGTAATTCCATTCTCAGTTTTTCACCTGAGCTTTTTAAGGTCACAGTGGAGTTGAGACCATGTTTTTTCTTTGCCTTGTGCTCAAAGTTACCTGCATAGGAAGGTGTTGCTTTTATAAGCTACAGCAAGTCTAGGCAGAGATATTCATGTATTTCCTGTCACTGGCCAGTGACCAACAAAGAACAAACAAACTCACCTGGATGTAAGTGTTCTGAATTCCTACCAGCTCTTCCCCAAGTGGCACCACGATTTTTTCCACCTGTCTCTCGTGAGAATAAGGCTGGATTTCTGGGGAATCCTCAGCACACACCTCTATCCGAGCGATCAGTAAGTTGGAGATAACCTGCTGCACAGCCTGGCAGAGAGGTAAAAAAAGAAAAATTACTATTCCCACAGTTTAGCAGGGCTTGAATACATTTGTAAGGAAAAGCTACCCACTGCCCGTGATGGAAAACAAAAGACTCTCCACTTAGACACCTCAAGCCAAGAGCCAAGACTGTAAATAAATTCGGTTTTGATGTGGAACTGTAACATACTTCAGTACCTTGCACAGTGTTCAAACTGGTATTAAACACAGCTCCTATGTGATTATTTGAAGCACACAAGTGGGGTTGGCTCACCTTGGTGTCACTGCCTGGTGTGGCACTCAGGGCCAGGATCCGAAACTGGCTCGTGTACTTGCTCAGCTCCCTCACAACCTACCAACAGGGAACTTTCTGTTAATACCTTCAAAGGAGATTATTTCCTTATACAAACTATATCAAGGAAAATACCCACCAAGAAGGAAAAGCTTAACAAAGCGCTCTGAAAATATTCAATCATAGAATCATGGTACAGTTTGGGTGGGAAGGGACATTAAAGATCACCCCGTTCCACCCCTGCTGTGAGCAGGGACACCTTCCACTAGCCCAAGTTGCTCCAAGCCTCGTGCAACCTGCACTGGAGCACTTCCAGGGATGGGATATCCTGGAAGTGTACCAAGAACAACCCTGGTAAATTATGAAATGATTTCTCACTTGATTTAACAGAAAGATTAAGAGCACACTAACTCAGGAGAGCTGCCAAGAAGTCTGAAGAACAACTCTTTTAAGAAAAGTAAATCATGGATAATAAGTCCCATGAAATCTGAACTCCACAGGTATTATACACATATTCCACTCAATTTCTCCAGTATATAAAATTTACTTTTGAAATCTCCCATTGCTATGAGATTAACCCATGATAATACAACAAAGTCTTTGTTGATCAACACAAACCTCAGTTTTAAAAACAAAACTTGAACTGATTTTACTAAGTTAAAGAACCTTACAAAAAAAACCCACACTTTTTTTTTTTTAAATTGCCTCAGTCAAAAAGATATTTCAAAACAAAAATTATAATTTAATTCAGGCATGAGAAAAGTACCTTACAGGTATTACTTAATAACAAGGCAGTGACAATGTACAGGAGTGTCTGATCTCTTTCAAAGTTAAGGACCTCGAGAACAATCTCCCCACAGCAGTGATAGTGACACTTTATGAAGATCCTGAGGTGACTTCGGGGTTTTGTCACTGGGAGAGAAAAAGGGGTGTCTCCAGCATTACCTGGCAGTAGGCATGATTCCCAAGGGCTTTGTGGGCTTCATCAATAACCAAACACTTAATGTCCACAGCGGGACAGGTGCCACGAGAAAGGTCATTGACCATTATCTGAGGGGTAAGGAAAAGGACTCTCTTGGTATTCCACAGTTCCCGGCGGCCCAGAGCTTGGGTTCCTCCTGGAAATAAAGGAAATAACATCAGGGAGCTGTTTTGCTCAGAGTAAAACACAGCCCACGAGCTGAGAGTGACAGCAGAAGCCAGCAGGGCTGGCAGACACAGGGAACCCCAGACTGGTTTGGGTTGGAAGGGACCTTAAAAACCATCTTATTCCAAACACTGCCATGGGCAGGGACACCTCCCACCAGCCCAGGTGGCTCCAACCTGGCCTTGGACACTTCCAGGGATCCAGGGGCAGCCACAGCTTCTCTGGGCAACCTGGGCCAGGGCCTCCCCACCCTCATTGAATACAACAATGGGGATGAATTTATTGCATTAAAACACTAAATCCAGAACCACGGAAATGAAGGCTGGGAAGCTCAAGATGCCCCACAGCTGCCCACAGCCCTAAACCTCACCTACAGCACCTCCGGGAAAGGTTTGTGCCTAAAAACAGCTTAAGGCTATTGCTGCAGTAAGCAATAAGCTGCAGCCCGGGGGGCTCTGCAAAAACTTTATTAAAATGAGGAAGAAGGAAAAAGAGGGGGAAAGGGAAAGGGGGAGAGGGAGGGGAGGGGATAAACGGGAATGTGGGAAGAGCAAAGGAAGAGGGGGTGGGAAAAGACAAAAGGAAGGGGGAAAGAGGAGGGAAAAGCAAAAAAAAAAACCAGGAAAAAAAGAGCCATTATTCTTTGGCTTAAGCTTCACGCAGAGCACATTGCGTGTGAACACCCGCAGGCTGCGACCCATGGGGCTGCACCGCAGCGCTCCACCACCCTTTACACGGGCGACCCGGGGCTTTAACTACTGCAAAACCAACGGTTTACCCTTTCAAACATCTCTTTATTCTCCCCCTCCGCCGCGTCTCTTCACACTCTGCCCTCCGGGATATCGCCGCAGCCCGTACCTGTCATCTCCGCCATGTCCCGTGCCGGGATGCCCATGACTCGGGCACACGCCTCCATCTGCTGAGCCACCAGCGGCTTGGTCGGGGCGAGGAACAGCACCTTCCCGGAGGGGAACCAGCGGTAGAAGTTATACATGACCACGGCGGCCACGAAGGTCTTGCCCAGCCCCGTGGGCAGGCACACGAGGGTGTTGGCCAGCAGCGCGGCGCCCGCCATGCGCTCCTGGTACGGCCGCACCGGCAGGTTGGTGGGGTAGATCCATATGGATCCCGCCGCCTCGCTGAAACCCTCCACGGGCACGGGGTCCGCCGCGGCGGCGGCTGCCAGCAGCAAGTCATCATCGCTGTCGTTGTCCGCGCCCTCCTCTTCGGTTTTACCCTCAGGCGCCCGCCAGACCTGAGGCAAAGTGCGCTGCCGCCCGCCGCTCATCCTCCCTCAGGGAGCGGCGCGCCCGCCGCCATTTTGTCGCTTCCTCAACGCCGCCGCTTGAAAACGCCGCCGAGGGCGAAGGGGAGGGACGGGAGGCGGCTTGGCCGCCTCCCGCCCCTCCCCTTCGCCCTCGGCGGGTTCCTGGCCCGCCCTTTCCCCTTCGGGCGGCCGCCAAGCCTGAGGTAAATCCCGCTGCTCCTCCCGCCTCTCTTCTCCCTCAGGGCGTTCCCCCACTTCCCTGAGGCGGCGCCATTTTGTCCCTCCCTCAGCGCGGCCGCCTCAAACCACCTCAGGAGCCTCCGCCCGAGGGCCTAGGGGAGGGTCTGGAGGCGCCTCCCGGCCCTCCCCTTCCCCCTGGGCGTTTATCCCGGCCCTCCCCTCCTCCCTCCTGGGTCGCTTCCCAGCCCTCCTCTTCGGAGGAGGAGTAGGAGGCGGGTGGGAAAATGGCGGCGGCCGCGGGTCCGGCGCAGCCCTGGAGCGCGGAGGAGCTGCGGAGCGAGGCGCTGGCCAAGAAGGAGATCATCAAATTCCTGCAGGAGCACGCGGCGCAGGCGGTGAGTTCGTGGGGAAATCTAAATGGTTTGGAGCGCGTGTGCGGTGCGTTTTTGGAGCGGGTGTTTCACGGCTCGCACTCGTGCGTCTGGCAGTTCCTGGCGGAGCACAAGCTGCTGGGGCAGGTGAAGAACGTGGCGAAGACGGCGAATAAGGAGCAGCTCATCGCGGCTTACACGCAGCTTTTCCACACGCAGGTGAGGGGACGAGGAGGGGGGAACGGAGCTGGGGGGGGGTGGTCCTGTGGGGGTTGATGGTTGATGGATGTGGCTCTTCATCCTCCCCCCTCAGCGGTTCAAGGGCACGGACGGCGCGGAGAAGGCGGCGGAGAAGGCGAAGCCGGCCAAGGCGGAGGAGGCCAAGGGGAAGGCGGTGAAGGCTGAGGAGGCTGTGGAGGAGGTTTGTGCGACACTCCCGCCTCGTGTTTGTCGTGTGGGAAACCAAATTAACCAGGTCCCCTGTCTCAGGATGAGGGTTAGGTTGGGTCTCAGGATGAGGGTTAGGTTGGGTATCAGGGAAAGGTTCTTCCCCCAGAGGGTGGTGGGGCACTGAACAGGCTCCCCAGGGCAGTGGGCACGGCCCTAAGGCTGCCAGAGCTCCAGGAGGGTTTGGATGATCCTCTCAGGCACATGGTGTGACTCTTGGGGTGTCCAGGGATTGGACTGGATGATCCTTGTGGATCCCTTCCAACCCAGGATTCTCCAAAGACCTGGTTACAGCAAGAACTCTGGTGTTTGCACCCTGCCTTAACCTTAATCTGCTGCATTTTCCCCATACATTCCAGCCCTGCAGTTACCCACGAACACGCCCTTCACTAACAGTGCATGTCTTCTTCAATGCCTTAAACTAAGTGCTTGTTCTCTCTCAGACATAGTTGATCTGAAGCTATTTAACCCACCAGTCACAACGCTTATTTTACAACCTCAGGGGCCACCAAAGTATACAAAATCCATTTTAAAGAAGGGCGATAAAACCAACTTCCCGAAGAAAGGAGACACTGTGCACTGCTGGTACACGGGAAAGCTGCAGGATGGGACAGTCTTCGATACCAATATTCAATCAAGTAAGGTCATACACAGATGGGTGCACAGAGAAACTGGGGTTTGCTGAGTGCATTAACTGGGCTCCTTGAGCAGATCTGGGCAAGTGTTTGCCTCTGGAAGTGTCCCTGTGGGATTCCTGACAAACTGCTTTGTTGTTGAGCTGCTGGGATGTCCCTGAGCCCCCTCCCGGATCCTGATTTTCCATGAGGTAAGGCAGGGCAGTATTTTAGGAGTGGCTGGTGTCAAGTGACACTGCTGCATCCTGCCAGCCCTCCCTTCTGGCATTCTCCAGGCCTGGGAATGTGAAAAGCAGGGAGTTAATCAGGGCTGAAAATACTTGAGGGGAGAGCTGGAGCTTCCCTCTCCTATGGAATTCAAGCACCAGCAGTGTCCTGAGTTTCTCTAAATAAACATCTCAGTGTCCTTCTCTAGTAAATCCTTAAACATGGAGGCACTGGAATGAGAGGGATTTGAGTACTCTGGTGTTTTTGTGACAGATCAGAGGGGTTAGGAGTATGAAATGCTGCAGTACTAGAAAAGCTTTTCCAGAGTGTGTCCCACACTCAGAGGAACAGTATTCCAGAGTCACTGGAATGCTGTCTGGGACTTCTTGTACTTGTTTTATGTTCCCTTTTGACTTCTGGTTCCTTAATGTGTTTGTGACTTGTACTGTCACCTTTATTAATTCAGAAATGAGTCTTTGGGGTTTGAAAGATGCTCATCAGCTTTAGCTCTTGGTCAGCTTGAACAGTGAACGATGTTCACAGCACTGAATATTAAAATAATATTATAATGTTATAATAACATGAACACTAAAAAATAATATAATAAAATGATAAGAATGTATATTTATTCCTCATATGTATTTATAATTGTAGACAGCAGTGTGGTGTGTGCTGGAGTGATGTTAAAGCAAAGCAACACAAAACTCTCTTCCAGGCTCAAAGAAGAAAAAAGCAGCCAAGCCCTTGAGTTTCAAGGTTGGCGTAGGAAAAGTGATCCGAGGTGTAAGTACAGCATTGACAGCTCCCTCAGAATTCCAAAGGAGTTTCCTTCCCTGTGATTTATGACCGGGGTGCAGTTTTTGAGCTGCTGTTCTGTTCCTCGTGGAGGTAAAAATGCAACTTGCAAGGGTTTACACGGGCAGGATGTCCCATTATCCTGTGTCATTCCCCTGGGTAGCAGCGTGTGGAAAACACTCTGTGTTCCTTGGGACAAGCCCAGCCTCCTGCTCCTGTCAGTCTGCTCTGAGGCTGCCGGGATTCCTCTCCTCCTGTCCCTTGTTCCCTGGGAGCAGAGCCCGACCCCCCCCGGCTCCCCCCTCCTGTCAGGGGGTTGCAGAGCCAGAAGGTCCCCCCTGAGCCTCCTTTGCTCCAGGCTGAGCAGGAAAAAGGCCTTTCTGAGGGCCGGGACTGGCCCTGGGAAGGGGGCAGATCCCTGGGCAGTGCCCAGCGCTGCAGGAGCTGCAGCTGTCCAGGTTTATCCGTGTGTCCAGGTTTATCCGTGTGTCCAGGTTTATCCGTGTGTCCAGGTTTATCCATGTGTCCAGGTTTATCCGTGTGTCCCTGAGCCTCTCCCTGAGCTGGGATCTGGCGCTGCAGGAGCCGCTCGTGGGGACACGGGGAAGGGAGTGAGTCCTGGGGAGGGACAGGCACTACTGAATCCGGGTCTGGAACAGCCTGGAACAAGCACGGATCCACTGATCCAGGGAGGCTGGGCTGCCCCATCCCTGGCACTGTGCGAGGCCAGGCTGGACCGGGCTTGGAGCAGCCTGGGCTCGTGGAGGTGTGGGATTGGTGGGAATCCCTAGGAGCACATGGAAAGGCTGGGAAGTGCAGCTGTTGTGACACCCTGCTGTGCTGTCCTTGCAGTGGGATGAAGCCCTGCTGACCATGAGCAAAGGAGAGAAGGCCCAGCTGGAAATCGAGCCCGAGTGGGCCTACGGGAAGAAGGGGCAGCCCGATGCCAAGTATCCTTGTACAGAAACCTGGGAATGCTGGGTGGGGTGAAGTGCTGGGACAGGGATGTAATGGGGGGGTTCACTCATTACAGCAGGCTCAGAATATTCCCACTCTGAGGAAATTCAGTGCACTTGGAGGGTGGGTGGGATTGTCCTTTTGTTTGGAACTAAACCTTGTGCAGGGAGAACTTGCTGCTGTTTTCCACCTGCATTTTTAGTCCAGCTGAGCTTCCAAATAAGCTTCCAAATGCTTATTACTGACAGGGATACAAACCAGTGGAGTAGGGAAGCAGGAGGAGTGACCTGTAGGGTAACAGCAGTTAAATTTGGTTCTGGTTCTGGGATACAACTGGAGTACGGGATGGAGGGGGGATCCTGCAGTGTTTTACACATTCATGTTCTTTTCCCAGTGCTTTAGGAGGAAGAGGTTGTTCCCTGGTGCTGGAATCCTGTAATGCCAAGGGCTGCCTGGACACTGTTCTCCCCTGTAGCACAGCAGGACAGACTCCCAAACCTGGAGACCAGGCTTAGGGAATGAGGAGCAGGGTGTGTTAGTGGAGGTGCATCCATGGAACTGGCCCTGCGTGTCCCTGACAGCTGGTGCTGGGCAGCAGTGCAGGATCCAGCCCAGTGCTGGATCCAGGCTGTCCCAAGGCCAGTGACACCACAGGGACACAGGAGAGGGCTGTGAGTCCCTGCCCAGGGAGGGATGGGGGAGCTGGAGGATTTGGGGTGTTTTAGGCTTCCTTAACATGCCCCCCCAGGATTCCCCCGAACGCAAAGCTCTTCTTTGAAGTGGAGCTGGTGGACATCGAGTGAGGAGTGAATTCCCCTTGCTGCTGGGAACCCAGGGACTGGTGCTGGGGATCCAGTTCCAGCCTGGCCCTGTGGAAAGGGAGCGCTGTCCCTGCCCCTCTGTACAGTGACACCACTAAACCAGTTTGTACCCTCGGTGCCGTCCCTTCTTTGTGTCTGAGCTCCCCCACCCTCCCCTGGCGGGGCTGCAGGGCCACAGGGATCCTGTGGAATTCCACAGCATTCCCGCTCCTCTTCAGAGGTATCAATACCAGTGTCAGGCACTCTGCTCCCAGGGATCCAGGCGTTCCCAGGGCATCCCTGTGCCACAGCCCTTCCTGGGAACACCACGTGTTCCTACTCCCGGCTCGACCACCGAGGCAATCCAAGAAGGCTCAGAGCACGGCTGAATTCCTTGCTTTTATTACAAAAATGGGAATGATCACTTTGATCAAAATGAAAAAAGTTTTGCTCACACCGTGTACATGAAAAACTCCAAATACAAAAACCATCCCAAACACAGTTTGTGCTTTTTAGAAAAGAACCAAGGGGGTTTTGCCCCATGGGTGAATTCCTGACCCCACAGCTCTGCCAAGGCCTCCAGCCCCGCTCCGGGGTCAATCCCAGCACAGTGCCCGGCTTGGGAAAACTGTGGTGGCAGCTGGGGTGGGAGCAGGACGGCCTTGGCTCCAGCTCTGGGGCAAAACCAACCCAAAGGGCCCCAGCTTCACCCACCCAATCTATGGAATCGTGGGACCGACGGGAATTCCTCCGAAAGCTCCATAAATTAGTGCAGGGAATTAAAAAAACGCATTTATGGTAAATGAGAATTGTACAGAGACCATTTATCGGTTACCAGCACACAACTCTTCACACGTACCCCGTGAGCAGCAGCTCGGGTCACATGCAGAGGACCCGCAGCAGGTGGCACAACAGTTCTTTCACAGCCCAAAGTTAGAAAAATATATCTTTTTTTATTCCATCTGTCGATGTGCAGCACAGTGAACTCTGGCTCAGGTGGTGTGGTAATACTGTCCGTAGTTCCAGGCGTTCTGGTAGTTGTACTGCAAACACAGCAGGAGGGGCTCAGCCAGTGTCCCTGAGCCAGCACAGACCACCCCACACAGCTCCCACTGCTCCCAGCTGGGCACAGCACCCTTGGCAATGAGGGACAATGCCCCGCTCCCCCAGGAGGGATTTGTCTGCTTCCTGGAGCAGGATGTGGAAGGCAGGCAGGGATCTGGGATCACAGTGATCATGGAATAGCCTGAGCTGGAAGGGACCCCCAAGGACCATCCAGTCCAAGCCCTGGCCCTGCCCAGGACACCCCAACAATCCCCCCCCTGTGCCCCAGAGGATCATCCAAACCCTCCTGGAGCTCTGGCAGCCTTGGGGCCGTGCCCACTGCCCTGGGCAGCCTGGGCAGTGCCAACCACCCTCAGGGGGAAGAGCCTTTCCCTGAGATCCAACCTGAGCCTGCCCTGGCACAGCTCCAAGACTGGCATTCCTGCAGTTCTGTGTGTGAACATTTGGGGCATTTTTCCTGCCCAGTACTGGACAGTTTCCCAACTGGATGAGACTGGGAAGAGCACTGGACCTCGATGGGATTTAGGCATCTAATCCATTCCCAAACCACAGCTACCCCAGGGGCTGGTGGTTTGTGCCTCAGCTCCATCCCTGCTCTGCCCAGCTCTGCCCAGTCTAAACACCAGTTTTCACTAAGCCACTTCAACACAACTTCCATGGATCTAAAAGACACGTGGATGTGGCACGTGGGGACATGGGTTAGTGGTGGCTGTGGCAGTGCTGGGGGTGGTTGGCCCAACCTCAACCGTTCTATTCCAAAGTGCCATGCCATGGAGGAACAGCGAGCTCCATGCGCCCCCTGGGCCGTCCCTGCCCTGCCCTGGCAGCACGTCCCGGTTACCTGGTACCAGGCGTTGTAGTTGTAGGCCGCCTGGTTCACCTGCATGTCCCCGTCCATCAGCTGCGCCGACACCAGGGCCGGGTCCTCCGTCAGCATCTTCTTCTCGTCCGGCTCCTCGGAGCTGGGGGGGAATAACAGCTTGGAATTGGCATCCTGGATAAACTCTGGGGAAGTCTCCGTGTGAGAAGTGTTACATCTCATTAAACAGCATTTCCCAGCTGGGCACCCTGTCCAAGCAGGGACATGGGATTGTTTAGGGAAGGGCAGTGGTGCCTCAGAACAGCCAGGGTTTAAACCGTTCTGGTCCCCCCACTGAGACAGCAGTGCAGGTTTCTGCTCAGAGACCCAGTTATTTACCAGCCCTGTTTAGCTCTCCTGTGAAATACAACTCAAAAAGTTATTTTCCAGTAAACGTTTCCAATCCTGGAAGTGTCCAAGGCCAGGCTGGACGGGGCTTGGAGCAACCTGGGCTATGGAAGGTGTCCCTGCCCATGGCAGGGGGTGGCACTGGATGGGCTTTAAGGTCCCTTCCCACCCAACCCACTCCATGATTCTGTGAATATTTAATCCAGCAGTACAGCTCTAATTAGTGCACACTTTAAATGATTTTAAAAAGTGATTTTGCTCCTGCACCAGTGGGGTTAAAGCCTCAAAATACCTGTATATCCACTCAGAGACTAAATAACCCCCCAGTGTCTGAGGCTGTTCTCTGGACTATTCCAGAGCACTCCCACATTGCTGTGTCCCAGCTGCAGCCTGGGGTGCGTGTGTGTGTCCCCAGGGGTGTCACAGTGTGTGTGTGTGCCCCAGGGAGCGTCCCCAGGGGTGTCACAGTGTGTGTATTGTCCCCAGAGGTGTCACAGTGTGTCCCCAGGGACATCACAGTGTGTGTATGTGTGTGTGTGTGTCCCCAGGGGTGTCACAGTATGTGTGTGTTCATGTGCATGTACTGTCCCCAGGGCTGTCCCAGTGTGTCCCCAGGGCTGTCCCAGTGTGTCCTGTCCCCAGGGCTGTCCCAGTGTGTTCCCAGGGCTGTCCCAGTGTGTCCTGTCCCCAGGGCTGTCCCAGTGTGTTCCCAGGGCTGTCCCAGTGTGTCCCCTGTCCCAGGGCTGTCCCAGGGCTGTCCCAGTGTGTCCCCCCAGGGCTGTCCCAGTGTGCTCCCAGGAGTGTGTCCTGTCTCCAGGACTGTCCTCCCTACCCGTTCTCCGCCCGTCTCTTCAGCGTCTCCTGCTCCTTCAGCAGTGCCTGGTGTTCATCATAAGCATCCAGGAGCCTGGGGGGACAGGGGGATCAAACCCTGCTCACCACTGTCATCACAACATTTCCCACCCCTGAGCAATCAGCCTAAAATCTCCGCTTCGAACTGTAGAAGTACAACATTCTAAACCAAACCCCACCACAAATTTCAAGGAGTGATCCACCACGAGAGGGGAAAGCCAAAAGGCTCAGTTTGATTCCACAGCAGCTCAAATTCCCAACTTGCTCAACATTCCTCACACTTGATGCAGTTTTTATGAAGTTCCTTTATAGAGGAGTTTTCCAGAAGTTACTTGTGATTCTGCTGCTCCTTCAGTGCCTGCTCACGATCCAAAGCAGGACTGAGATTTGGGAATCAACATTTCAACACCAGAAATTAGTATTATGCAAAACTATTCCAATCCCAAAGCAGCACCTGCAGCCTTTTGCCCATCCAGCATGGGAAGAACAAGTATGTTCAGTGCTGCACAAAACAGTCCTGGCTAAAATTCCCACAAATAGTCAGATACCCTTTCCTCTGCTGCATCCAGACTTCCCCACAAAACCTGCTGCTTCTGTCAGTACTGCTCTGGGTGAAAACAGTGTCTCGTGCTCATTCTGTGCTCTGGGGTTATTTGGGAGCTGCAAAGCTCACTGGGTCTGGCCTGTCCCGGATCCCAAACCTGCAGTGAGTGGCTGCCATGCAGAGGCAGCAGGATTTAAGGACAGATGCTGTTAAAAACATACAGAGCAGAAAAACTTAACTCATGGTTAGTCCTGACGAGTTACTGAGCTGCAAAATGTAAATAAAAACAGGAGCTTGTTTTACAGAGGAAAAAGTATACGTAGTGTTGATTTAAAAACATGCATTGCTGGTGTATCCTCCCACATAAGTGTAAATAGGGCTGAACACGGAAAAATCCCACCAGGGCAGTTTTGGAAACCTCAAGCAGCAGCTCCCAGGGAACAGTCTCAAATGAGACTGTGTCTGTGTCACAGACATGTCAGCTCCTCTTTGGGGAGCACCTGCCTTCACAGGGCTTAGCAAGGGGAAACTACAGTAAGACCTGACAGGCAGTAAGACTTTGCTCTGTGAGGTGTTGAGCATTTCAGAAAAGAAGGGATAATTTTCTGAAAAGAGATTCCTGTTTAAAAATCTATTCCTATTCAAAAATCTATTCCTTTTTAAAACCTGGAATTTGGTTTAGAAAAGCCACTGTTCCTTAGCCAAGAGCACAAAGGAAACCATTTAAGAGATGCCACCACGCCACCCCTGCCCAACTCCTCCCAGCACTGTCCCAGTGACCCCACTGCACACAGCACATCTTACTTGTTCACATCAGACCCAAAATCTTCCAGGAACTCCACTTTTCTCTGGGAGAAGGTGATCCTCATTTTGATAGACAAGGCTCCATGGACAGCCTTGTCAAAGCAGCTCAGGATGTTCTCCTCGTTCTGCTTCAGGTCCCCACTGTACTCCATCTCCAGCAGGTTCAGGTACAGTTTGGTGTTTTCCTGTGCAAAGGGCGTGTCAGAAGGTGCCCCCCTGGCCCAGCAGGTATTCCACACTCAGTGTGTGTCACCAGTCACACACCACAACACCCACAGCACAAATACACACAATGACAGGCACCAAAGAGCTTTCCCTTCCCCCCTGGGCTGGTTCGGGTCACAGACAACCAGAGGTGATCTACAGCACAAACCCAGGGCTGGCACTTTGCTCACAGCACCTGCAGTGCCAGGTTTTCCTGTGCTCACACAAACCCACCCCCCAGTACTGCCCACACCAATCCTGTTCACCCTGAGAGGTGAACACACTGACAACAGCTAAGATTCTAAGGAGGATGAAGGGATGAAGCACACTGTGCTTCTGATGAGAGAAAAGAGTGCAAACTTCAGATTTGGGAACGTGGCAACATCAGTTTAGAGGGACTGTTGTCTCCATGCAGTAATGGGACATTACATACAGTTACAACTCCTGTCATCACCGTTG